GTTGATGTTTATGCCATTAGATTCTGTTCCATTCATGAAATCTTGCATTCTTCTCAGAAACAATAAATGGATTCTAGTTTTGGCTGGGCAGAAGTAGATGGATAATAAAAAGTAAATATGTAGAGAAAATCCTCATGAAATGTTGATCTTTTATTGGTTTTGTTACATTATTGTTTATCAATCAAGTAACTTCTCCCAAATGACACATGGAAGATGGGGGAGCCGGAAGCCGCAACCGTCTAATGGTGATGCTTTTGTCCCTTTTGTCGTGTTGATTTAACTTTTTCTCACTGACTTCACACGTGGTTGCACGTGTTCATTTACTAATCAAGTTTTTTGTTAGAGATGATGATCGGTATCTTAATGGTAGCTTCTCCGTATGTTCGTCAGTTTTGTCGTAGAGATTGATTCATTTCGCTCATGATCTCTACTTGTAGTATACATGCTATACGTTTAATGATCAATTACTGTCTGTACTGATATCCTAGCAATCCCAAATTGAGAATGTCAAAGTATCATTTTCAATTTGAGCTACCGATGGACTAATGTTGCGTTTGTAGACCTGACTCAGCTCTACTAAAATGGGAAACCATCTAAACCACCACAAAAGAGAAGCCAAGCTCCAGGATGTTTCGATTTTTCTTTTTTCTTAAGCTGGATAGAATGAGCTTCTTGGTTCTGAAGTGCATTATTCTGCAGGGTGGTGAATTCAGATACTGCCAAAAGTGTTTCCATTATAAGCCTCCCCGAGCTCACCATTGTCGTACATGTAATAGATGCGTTTTGCGAATGGTATGCCTTGTCCATATTATCATTCATGTTTTTTTTCGATCTCCTGGATAATGTATTAAAGTGCTGCCTCTTGATGCAAGGATCACCATTGCATGTGGTTGAATAATTGTGTGGGCCATGCAAATTACAAGGCCTTCTTCGCCTTCATATTTCATGCAATCGTCGCATGCATATACTCCCTGGTAAGTTTTACCCCCTCGCTTGATCATTTGTTGTTAACCAAGTTAAAACGGCTAAACGCATTTTACCATCTTGTACCTTCTGCTATTTCAGGTTTTGCTTCTCGGTAGTCGATTTGCTTCTGAAAAATATCCTGAAGGCTTCTTAAGAATCATATATGTAATTTTTTGTGAATCTTTTCGTTTTGAATCATATTTTCTTGTGATGTTTGCCTCACTAAAATTTCATGTCCAGATCATTTCAGGGTTATTTTTAATCCCTGTAAGTTTGATATTGAGTATTTTCCTTGGTTGGCATATCCATCTTATCTTACAGAACAAGACTACAATCGAGGTTTGTGAATCGTGACATTGACTTTACCATCTTTTAATTGATTGCCAAACAAATTCTTATTATCTTGATTCTTTTCCCGATCGACAGTACTATGAAGGTGTGAGAGCTACGCCTCTTGTAAAAGGACGCCATCTTTATCCAAATCTGTATGATATGGGTGCATATGAGAACGTGACATCAGTAAGATATTTGTTTACCTCTGCCTCACGTTTGTTGTTGTCCCGCTATGTTTCTTTAATATTGGAAGAGTAATCGTCTATGAATCTAACCAGGTCTTATTTCTTGTGCATCTATATTTGTTTGCTCGATTCTTACAGATTCTAGGTCCAAATTATCTTTGCTGGGTTTGCCCCACATCAGGAAATGTTAGTTCTGGACTTCGCTTTCGTACAAAGTATGATAAAGGGAACGGAAACGCAGCGACCCCAAAATAAACCTCGTTTTTCTAGACTGTGGAACCGTACTACCCGATGACAAACGAATGTTTAGTCTTTCGAATGAATCGCGTTGATTAATCTGCTATTCTCTGAAGCTCGGAGGCTAGATAGGTTACTTCAGTGATAACTCGGGTTGTAGAGGTTATATAAAAAGGACATAGACAAGTAGTTGCTCTCGATAACTCTTACCGTCTCTCTAGTTGAAAGTGAAATTGTTGAAAGTTGTGACTTTTTTATCCTGTAAATTTTATAAATTTTCTAAGATATATACTGTTTTTCTTTTGTATTTGATTAGTCATGCAGTGTATAATCCCCCAGATTGTCTGCCTATTCTTTATCAATTTCAAGCTTGTTTGGTAGAAATTAAAATTGAAAAACTAGTCGTTATTGTTGACTTTTATTAGACGAGCGAGACCCAATAACGACTATATTTTCAATTTTAATTGAATTTTAATTCCTCCCAAACAAGACTGACAATATCTCATAATTTTGTATAAATATTCAAAAAAATTAAAATATTTTCGATCCTAGAATTATGGTATTTCAAATAAATTCTCTTATTTCTATTTCATTGTCATCATTTACTCACTTAATTCCATTTACATTTCCTATCCAATTTCAGTCTCTCGCCGGAAACAATCTCCAATGCTTGTAACCGCTACAAAAGTTGTTTCATGCATGTGACCTGAACTGAAACTCTGCCGTATTTTATAGGAAGTAGTCCAATTTTGGCTTACGTTTTCAGATTATCTAAGTTCATGATATCATATTCGTTTATAAATTACAATTTTTTATGAAAGATAAAAAGAAAAAGGTCGGTTTAGATCTGTTCAGTTCCATTACATTAGAGAGAACCATTTCAATTTTTGTGTAGAATTTTGATTTGTACTTCTTTTTTTTTATTTATGACCGTGGATGTCCGGGCCAACTTGAGCGCACATCGACTAATCCCACGGGGCCCTGAAGTTTACGACCGGATACTCACCTCAATGGCCTTGAGGGGGACTGGAACTGATTTGTACTTGGTTCATTCCAATTTTTATTAAAACCGAATACGTAAGTTAACAGTTTCAGCACAGAGTTTGAATCGTTACATTATCAATGCTCGAAAGCTCAAAACACTTGCTTGAATATTCTCACAATCAATCATACGAGGGGTTTGCAGTACTCCTCCTAATAAAAATGGATCTTTTAAATATTTGAAAATGCTTTAATTAAATTTGTTTGGTATAGAATTAAATAAAAAATCTTAAAATGTAAATTATTGAATTCTCACTTTTGTAGGTAAAGTCTCGAGTTCTTATCGTTAAATTCACCCATCCAAACGTAGGAACATAGTCAAAGTTGAGTGACTAGATTGCAACAGAAGGAAATTATGTGAACTAATTGAGATGTTAGTGAAAGTTGAGTGACCAAACATGTAATTTTCCCATATTTTTTACGTTGTAC